AGGAGCCCCGCAAGTGGTGGAAACACTACAGCAGCCATGCAGGCGCTGTCATGCTGGTATTGACAGCCTGAAATACTGCCCGCAGCACGTATTTTCAGCGTTTTGCTGGGGTTATTGTGAATTTTAAGGTCCCAGTAGCCCCCCAATAGCCAGCATCATGAGCATCATGGGCCCTGTTGGGGCCCCCGGTTTTCCTTGTTGACACTACACATACGAGGTTCCAACCAACGATGGCGACAGCATCCATGCTACTGTAATCAATCGTGTGATGTGGATGGCTGTCACCTAGTGTGCTGCTTTGAAGTTTGCTCGCCTAATGAAGATCAGCTCTTCCGTCAGCAGGGTCCTCACAGATGTCAATGGCATTGGAACCATTAGAAGACGATCAGTTAGTCATCTCCACAAGAATGACTGAGGATCAGTAGTTTCTCACATGTGAAATGTATGTTCATGATTGGTTTGAATACGCCTGCCGTTTTTAGTTGTGGGTGCTTCCCCTAACCGTGGCAGCGAAAGCATGACAAGCTCGTTTGCAAACAAATCCAAGCACTTGTTGCCACATGTCCTTACATGATGCAGCGGTCCAGAGTCTCTTAAGGATTCCCTTGATGACTGACTAGGACATCAGTCTTGCCTGTAAAGGCTGTTCCCCTCTCTTTGCGCAGGGGTGTGTGGGCAAACTCTTGCCCGAAGAGTCTGTATCATTATTTGTGTTACTACCTGTTCGTGTGCACTCAGTTCAGCAAGACAGCATTTGTGAAAATCAACACAACAAATGTGTAACAATCTGCGTCTACCAGCATGGCAGTTACCACCAGCCAAGGAGCAGGGGGCAGTGGCCACTTGGCCCACTCAAGAAACCACTGCCAACGAAGCTGCTCTTGAGTTGGGAGGATATCCAGGTTGATCACCTGGGCGTACCTGCAACAGGTCCGGCCCCTGAGCTGACCAGATTTACAAAGCCAGGCCCCTGAGCTGGCAAGATTAGAGCAAAACAATTTCCGCGAACAAACATCACAATTCCATGTCAGTTCTTGTGTGTGTCAGAGTGCTTGCATCAGACACGTACCCTCCAGTCCAAACATGCCATTCCAGTCCAGTCATGTACGGCGCTTGCAAGATTCGGGATTGCAAAACGTGAAGCATGTCTCAGAGCGAAGATTTTCAGTCATGTACTCCTATACTTACATGTCAGACAGGTCAGTGCAGTTGTGCAATTATTGGATGATGGGAGCTAGCAACAAACATGTTGCAGCAAAAAAGATGAAATAAGGAGTGAAAGGGAGGAATTGCAACCCCGCCCATTGGACTCCATAGTCCACTTACGCGATGTTAACGTTTTAACACTTTAAATTCTCATTTACCTTCGCTTCATTTTCAGTTCTCATGTCGCCTGTCAGTCTCAGTGTTTCTCATTTCCGTCTCCGTCCATTTTCAGATTATCTTCATGTTATTCTCATCTTTATGGTTTCTATGATTTAACAGGTATCAACTCTGAAGGTGGCAATCATTCATGTTTTCATGGCTTGAATGCATATCAGTCTTTCATTGGTTATATAATTCCTATCAAGCATTGCATTCCCCGAAAGCACAGGCCACATGCATTTCACATGGCGAACACTGTTTCGTGAGCCTCGTAGCATGGACTGTTTTGATACACAAGAAACCATACAGTTTTGCTTCAGGGGAATCAATGAACGTATTTCATGATAGGCATACGAGATCTCGCATGAGTGTTCATATGCACATTTAGACACACGTATCAGGGCTTTGTAGATTAGGATGTTTTTGTGCGTCAAATCTGCTTCAGATTTTCCCCTTGCTTGCTTCCACCTTGAAATCTGAAGTGGAGGCCATGCAGCCTGCGGTCTTCACCAGCCGTGCCCGGGCTTAGTTAGAATTGTAACATGTGCTGCTAAATTGAGAATCATTAAGCTCTGTTTGGCAGGAAAGCAGTGAGCCTTCCACTGTCGCCAGGTCCAGCGGTGCAGGGCTCCCTCCGCACATCAGTGCGTCTGTCGTCCACCTCTGCCAAAGCCTTAGATAGCTCGGGATCTTAAGGCTTTCGGTTTCATTTGGGTTGCTCATCATCCCTGGAATACAGAGCAGGCAGCACAATTTAAAGATATTTGGTGGTGGCAGTATGCCTTGGGCACACCTCTGGCTCAGTTGTCCTGGCTGTCCTCTCTTTCCTCAGATGGTGCCGCCATCCACGCAAGCGCTGGCACTCGGCTCGCCTGCCGTGGCTCTGCGGCACATTACAGTACAGACAGATCTGTGCAAAGTGCAATTCTGTGTGGCAAAAACGCGGATTTTCCTCGAAGCAGCCGGAAGCCTTCGTTTTGGATTTAGCCAGGCGTCTTCTCCCCGGGTTGGCAGCCGCCCGTGGTACCAAAAGCCGTCAACGGCTTGAAGAGAGGGTTTTGTCATTTGGAGTTTGGAGGTGTGCAAGAAGGTTCGTCAGGAGCTTGTTGCTTGTAAGCAGATAATCAGATTAAGCGGTCGCACTCCTCGCGAGCTTGCGACCGCGGCAAAGCATCCTGACAACCGGCTTCAGACTTGTGACAAATGCTGCGTAGCGAGTACTTCCGTTCAACGGACTACCGGGGTAGCTTGCTCTTCATGATTTGTACACAATTAGGCAGTCTCTGGTGTCTGTGCTCATGTTGACCTCTTCCCATATATAGGCTATTGAGCGGAACACCATCACTACCGGAATGCACATCGCATGTCTGCCTGGCATGGTAGCATCCTCCCCCTGGCCCAGTGGATGGGAGGGCCCCGGTGGGTGGGCCCTCTGGCTGGTGGGCTGGACTACCTGCGCTGGGATCGTGCAGGACCTCGCAGGCAGGAAGTCCTGTTTCAGACTCTCTGTTTGGGACGCACGTCCTCGGTAGTTTGCATTACCAGCTTACCACTTTTGTGGTAGCTGGACGCGCCAGGTCCCTACATCTTTTTCCACGAGTGAAGTGGGGAAAGAGCTGAGACGATGTTGCCGATCTTGTTGAACTGCCCAACGCAATGTGTGACTAACAATAATGATATGTATTCTCGTTTTTGTCTGCTGAGTGTTGAACAGCTGCCATCTCGGCAATGCTTGTGGAAAGAAGGGGTAGTCGCTTCTAGGCACCTACCCACAAGATTGTTGATGAACATGTTCTCTGTCATCGATGAGGTGAGAGCCGCGGTCGAGGCAAAAGGTTGCAGAGCATGCCGTCTCATACTTTTGTTCCGTTCACATGTCTTGTGTCAAAAGGGACTTGCCAGAGCTTTCTGACATGTTTGAGTTCGGATGCATCAATTTGCTCGCTTATTCTGACACATCTGAAGACCTGCAGCATTTGTGGCCCTTGATGACGTCCCTGGCGTCTGGCCAACGATACCGCTATCTTGCAGCAGCCTCGGACCCCTGCTGTTCAAACATGTTGGTGAGCTGGGTGGGTCCCGATGTCGCTTCGCTGGAACATTCTGATGCTTCTGAAATGTTCTGAAGTCAATGCGTCGGAGTAGGAGACACCTGAACGAACCATCCAGAAACTCAACACACGCCGGGGAATGATTTTAAGCTCCGCTTGCAAGCTACAAATCTCCAGGAAACGTGAAGATGAAGACAGAAGAGGCGTTGTTGGCTATGCTGCGTGGTCTTGATGCCACCAAGTCTTCATTACTTGCTTGCCAGGATGCAAACATCGAGAACCTCAGCCGGAAGCCACCGAAGATGGCCTCCCTGATGGCAAACAAGGATCAGAGCAGTTGACTAGAATCCAGCAAGAAGAGCTCATGGCCAGAAACTGATAATCATTCAGTTCACCCACAGTCAAAAGTTGTGGGCGACTTCTGCAGTGCCTCTGCAGTGGGAAGTTGCGATTGCAACGACTTCTGTGTACGAATAAGGCGTCCAGACTGATGCTGCCTTTGTCAGGACCACCCGCAGCGCGAGCTTCTCTTCAAGGCTTCAAAGCGAGCTGCATTTCATGGGCCTGTAGGGTGGGTTTGACAATGTCTTCTGGCGAGGCTATTCATCCTGCAAATTCACTGGAGGCTGGCTTCCTTCCTACATGGAGTTAACCTGCGATGCAGTGTTCAACCCCATCTTGCATGGTTCGAAGCGTCAGCTTGCATCTGCTGTGATGAATTGACGACAGGCATGGATGGAGAAGGGCTTGCGCCGCGTTGAAGACGATGAGGATGAGTGGATTGAGGGTTTCGCTGCAGTTCCGGCGCGATTGGTACATGTAATGTTTATGTAGCCAAAACAGCACATTCATGGCCGGCTGGCCAGGTGCTGCCAACTGCTTACAAGGGCTGCAACAAGGACTTGCGTGACACGTTCGACCAGCGCTGTTCACAGACTGAAGCCTCATGACTCAAGGAAAGCCTGCTTGTGTATGCGCCTGGCCCACAAACGCAGGCTGCAGTGCTCACAGAATTGCAGCTGACCTGGTCTTGACTCAGCTTAGAACACACATTCACAGCCTTCTTTCACGCAAACGGCCAAGATGTTTGTCTGAGCCCTTTCGGCATGTCTGTAGCTGATAAGCGGCTATGACGCAGGTATTTTCTGTAGTTGCGTTGCATGCTTGCAAGGGTGTCTTGCAAGGGTGTCTTTGCGTTACACCTGCGGACTTCTCAAAGATGCTGTCTGAAAAGGTGTGTATACAGCGAATTTAAGGTGTCAAGGATGTTTTTTTCCTTGGCTTGCCACTAGCAAATTATGTGCGTGGAGGTTTACCCGGTGCCCTTGCAGATAGCTGACAACGACGAAGGCGTCAAAACGCACGCCGCCATGTTTTTGGCATTACTTGCTGTGCCCAGCAGTCATGCTTCTGTATGCTTTTGTGATTGAAGCAACAATTTCAAAGGCTGAAACTTCCATGCTGTCTGCTAAGATGTTGTCGTCACAACTGACACCCCTTTGCAACAGTTTTTGAGGCAATACCCATTATGCATGATCGCAGTAAAAGATCCTCCAGACATTGCTTGCAGCATTGCTTGCCTGAATGAATGATGCCCCCGCTTCCGCGACTTCACTGGGCACGTCAGCGGTTGCGGAAGCAACCGCAATCCCTGCAGTGGCTACACCTGCTGCTACAAGCCCGGTGACGGCTCTGGCGGCTGAGTCCCTGTACAGCTGGTTGTGGCAAGACGGAGACTCGCATGACTCGAACTGGCTTCCATTTCGACAGAGTGACCAGAAGAAGCTTGAACAGGGAGAGGCCGCATCCGTCGCAACTGTAGATGTCGAGGGTGGTCGGTGGCAAGTTGACCTCAAAGAGCGCATCCTCATAGATAGGTATGGTAGCGATCCGCCACGCAAACAGAGCAAGGTGCGGCGAGCCCTTTGGTTTCTGCAGGCGGCGACGCTTATCCCTTACGACGAAAGAATTGGCGCAGCCATTGAGGCCGCTCACGAGAGCGTGTGGCTAGCGGCTAAGGCAGCCATTCCGAAGGAGGACCTTGAGATCGCTGAGACCGTGAATCTAGAGTCGGGAAGGAAGATCTCTTTGAAGCTGAGGTATGAGCAGAAGTCTAAAACCTGGAAACTCTCAGCCAAGGAGAAGTCCCAGGCAGCAACCTCCTTCATGGAGTATGCGCAAGCATCCCTCTTTGGAAAGAGCTACGATTTGCAGCGTGGTTTTGGTCCTATTGCCATCCAGCCGGGAGAGGAGGAGGAGAGAGTGTTGGGAAGTGACGTGGGTAATCTCATTATCCTCGTGCATGGTGTTGGCGAGAAGATGTGGAGCGAGGAAGGCTGTATTGTTGAATGCACCACTCATTTCTCTGTTGATCGCGGTATGTGTTTTGGATGGCTTCAGCTTCGAGTAGCATCCAGCATACAGGAGCCAAGCGCTGTGTAGCATCTAACATTTCAGGCTGCGGGCTGGCTTCATCCTCTGGAATTTTCCGCCAACACATGCATGCACCTGGGCTGTGCACACGGTCAAAGCATCCAAGCTTCACAAATCCCATCGTGACCCAGGTCAAGCAGCTGCAATCTTCTGGCTTCGTGCAGAAGGGCTCCAGCTGGGAGCAGCTCAGAGAATCTTTGGCAAAAGCTTTTTCCTTTCAGGAAAGGAAGAGAGGCTTGGCCACAGCGTGCTGTCATGACCACTTATTTACGTGTGCTGTCGTTACAGGTACCCCGGTGAAACGCCACCTCCGATTTGCAAGGATGAGGTTCTGGAGGCATCCTGGTGGGAGACCATACACACAGATGAAATGGACGCACGCCTTGCGCGCATCAGCTTGCCATCCATGAAGCAGGTGCGGCAAATCGCTAACTTTGCCGTAGTCGATGCTCTTTACTACATGCAGGTTGGCCGTAAAGAGGCCATTGTGGCGGCAGTTGCACGTTCAGTCGAGGCGGCGCTTGCTCGCTTCAAAAAACACCATCCAAAGCATTCCGGCAGTATTGTGCTGGCCGGACACTCATTGGGAGGCGCAATCCTCTTTGAACTCTTGCGCAGCCAGGCTCCCAAACTGACTTTCACCCCACAAGCATTGTTTACGATGGGCAGCCCAACGGGCTTGTTCTTGCACGTCGCGGATGCCGTGCCTGGTGAGTCTTTTGCACTTCCAGGAAGCACCCGCTTCTTCAACATATTTCACCCGCTAGATCCGGTGGCCTACCGCATCGAACCCCTCATCAAAGGAGATCTTGCTAAGCTGGAGCCTGCCAAAGTTGCAGTGGAGGGCGGCTTCGGCGGTATGAAGGTCCACTATGGAGTACAGAAGATGGTCAACTGGGCCACTGGCCAGGCAGGGCATGACTACCATTATAGGAAGCGCTTTTCGCACTTTGGCCTTGCATGGCCTTGCATTCCTGTCAGGACAAAGACCAAGCCAGGTTCAATGACCTTTGCCAGTCTGTGAAGCTGAATGCTGGGGACCGCATCGACTGGTCTCTGCAGGAGGACCTCAGCATCATGACTGTTGCGGGGGTTGCTGGTGAGTTGTTGCCTGGCTGAAACATGAGTCCCTATTATGGACCTTGCACAACTGGCCTTCCCGGCGCAACAGATGGCATGCAAGACTGTGTTTAGAGCCGATGCTGCCTCTGACTTGTTCAGCAATACACTATATGGGCGGGCCGCTCAGGATGCAAGCGCTTCCAAGCCATGCCTGCTACATGAAATCTGCGGACGTCGCAGCTTTCGTGCAGAGCCGAACACACAGCCTGGTGATAGAGCGGCGTGCCTAGTCCAAAGGACTTAGCGAGACACTGCGAGGCAAAGGGACTGAACCTTTTCATGATTTTTCATGTGTGAGCTTGTGCATCCTAGGCATCGCGCTCAAGACTGATACACCAGTGACTGAACCGAACCGGTGCTAAGCAGTTCACACTCAGAGTGCGCAGCGCAACAAGCGCGGCCATCTCTGTGTCTGAAAGAGCTCAGATCTTAGGAGGTTAGTTTCCTACCTCCGTTGTACAAATGACAAAGAAAGTCTTTTCCCAGACAGTGCTTTCTTCGCAAAGAAAAACTCCTTGCATGACCACCTTGTAGAGAGTTCTGAAAAACCACTGCAGGAAGATGCTCTTCCACTACACACACAGAGAGTCCTTTGAAAACTTCGTCAGGAGACTTGGAGATTGGATTGGATTGGCAGTCAAAGACTGCTTAGGTCGTACAAGTAGTTACTTGGGCCACTAAGTAATCGCTGGGCTTTTCGCACACTCATGTTACGTCTCGCCCCAGGATTTTTGCATCCGGCGAGGAGATGTCTGAAGAGGATTTCTTGCAGAAGTGCATCGTAGAGCCAGATTTCCTCAGACACGCCGCGCTCAGAGGAGGGTATGGACGAAGAAGTACGAGCCCTGACAGCAGATGTCAAGTTTGCTTTCAGAACTGCGCGCCTCCAGTGGTCCAGGCTCAGGAGGCTCAGGACGAGGATAAGATTCTTGATGCATCTTCAGCGGGGCGCCTGGTTCTTGAGGACATGGGATTACGTGCTTTTGTGTTGCAGTGTTGCATGCGTGTGTTTGAAGGATGCCCAAGCATTGAGAGGCCCCTGCAATGCCAAGGTCTATGTCAGGATAATGGATCAAATCCAGGCCCTTGGTGCAAAGCACTCCAAATCGTTGAGCGGTGTCTGAATGCTACCTTGACACGATGACCTCACACACTGTCAGCATGCAATTCTGCTGATGCTGTCAAGGCTGATTGGGACGACCGCAATCCCACGCAAGGGAACACCAGGCCAGGAGCCGGTGCTCTAAGTGCGAGTCATATCGGCGGCTCCCGCAGGAAGAACGATCCTGAGCTTTTGCTCCGGGAGCCGGGGAAGTTTGCTTCCCGACAGGCCTTGAGAAGCTGAGAAGTTGAGGGGGCATCTTGCTCCGAGTTCAGAAGGGCTTCTTCGCTTAATATGCATGCAGCCAACGGCCAGGCCTTGAACCAGGCATTGTTCGGCGTTCCGAGGCAAGATATGAATGGACGAGATTGGATCTTTCAACTTTTTTTTGGTAGCTGCCATGACGGAGGCCGGGGGGCACAACAACGTCTGGCGAAAAGCTCAGCAAGGCTGATTTCTTCGAGCCACCTGTGTGCTGATGTTCTTTAGACTCGCCGACCTCTTTTGTATTACTCAGTCGAAGTCATCGTCTGTGTTCCCAGTCTGTATCTGTTTGTTATCTTGTGGGGCACATTACCATGTACAGATGTGAGCGGAAATGGCCTCTAGGTCACAAGCTGGCGGAGGTTGGGAATTTCTGTGTCGCTGTATTGGCTCCAGGTGGTGTCCTTAAAGCGGCCTTTTGCGAAGAGTTTCTGTTGGGTTTGTTGCCTCCTTTTCAGGCCATGTGGCAGTGGCCAGTCACATGGCCAGTGCACGCGGCGTTGCCATGCAAGTTGACAGGCTTGCATGAACGAATCAGCAGACCATGCGCGAAGAGAGCATTCAGCGCTTGCTCGGCTCGTTCTAGCAAAGCTTGAGCTTGACAACTCGACAGGGAAGCTCTTCGACTGCTGCACCAGCAAGCGCAACTTCGCAAGGAAAACTTGGCCAAACAGGCTTGGCCGGGCAAGTTGCCAATCTGCTTGCTGAAGGCTGAAGCGCTTTGTGCTGTGTGGGGTTGACTGCTTGACCAGGCAGAGGCAGAGAAGCGCACCGCGGAAGAAGCCAGGCCGAAGTCGCTATCTGCTATCGTCTCAGTTTCTGGCACATCTGGGTTCCAGGCGTGCGAGGAAGTCCTGCTTCGGGAGGCTGTGCGGAGGCCTGTTCAGACTCAGGATGGCTTTTCTTTGACGGGAGAGCCATAGCACGACATAGCTTTGCGTCTAAGATGCTTTGGACTTCTTGCTGTGGGCCTGGGAGTATGCGCTGCATGTAGAACTTGGTGAGTCTTGGCAGATTTGGCAGGTGGCAAGGATACGCCCCAGTACTGGGACGAAGATGCCAAGGATGAGGTGTGTCTGCAGCTTGGGGGAATGACAACGTGTTGGCTGATTTTGATAGTCCGCAGATGCGGTGCGCAGCTGCAGACTGACTCATTTGTAAACATGCAAATGCCCGTGCCCGTGCAGGATCAAGCCGAGGCCCGTGCTACTATTACAGATGCTGCGCATGACGGGCATTTCGGAACTCTCCCTCCCTGCAAACCAAATTAGGATTGCTGCGGGTGACATTTTCAGGTCAGGCTGTGTACTACCACATCTGCTAGGGCTGCTAGGGACTGTAGAACTTGTCAAAGTGTTTCGGCAGCGCTGTACAGGAAGGTGGAAGAACCAACCGAAGGAGACGTGAGGCCCTTTGCGGTGTAGTTGCCCAAGTAAGCATGATGCAGTGCACAGAGATCCTTTCAATTAATTTCGGAGCAGCGTGCGCAGTGTGCGCATTGACCTAGAGTACACGCTCTAGTTTAGACTGGAAGGTTGTAAGCAGCAGAAGGGTTATTTGTGAAGACGTGCCAGGTGCAGAGAAAATGGCTAAGTTTCAGCAGATGCCGCAGCCCTCTGCATCAGCCCTCTGCAGGTGGACAAGGCGAAAGCGGAGAAGATCAAGACATGGACGAAGGAGAGGGTACCTGTAGCGTCTTGGAAGCTTCCTGTAAGATGGATACCCTACACCTGCTGAGGAGCACTTCGTCGCAGTAAAAGACATGAGGCTCGAGCGGAGTCTTTTTGGATTGATCAGACCTGGGACCGAGCCGGCAGATGTGCTTGTCAGGCGACGCGAGTTTGAGGCCGGCGCCTGCGATTTTGGATCAGATAGCAGATGCATCGTGTACTTGTCATTCTTAGGAATTCTGAAGGTTCGTTTTGTATGCTAAGGCAATGAGTTCCAAATTGCAAGGACTGCTTGAATTGAAAATGGGATCCGAAATCACGGGAAGTTCCCAAGTAACAATATATCACAAGCTCACGTGGCGAGGCAGAAATGGCCGAGATGGCGATTCTGACGAGCTTGACTCTGGATGTCATGAATGTAGCCATCGAACGGGGAATAACCTGGATGGTGTCTTGGGAGAATCTAGATTGTCCGAAGGAATGGGGTTTGGGGCAGGGAGAGGAATGCGATGGGAGTTGGTCTTAAGCTAAAGACGCTCTCCTGGCTTGGCAGATTGAAAATCTCTCACTTCGCAGCCCTGGCTTAGCCTCACTGCCAGGAAGAAGGCAGAGCCAAGGCACCAACATGCTTCTGACATGCTTAAGCTGCAAGGTCTTTGCTGAAGTCTCGTGAGATTTTGCGTTTTGCAGGTGCCCAAGCCTGGCCTGCCTCGCTCTTACATTGCAAAGCACTGCTCGACAAGGATTTCATACTTCATCTCGGTCTCCAGATTTAGAAAGCCATGGCATCTGTTGAACGTATGTATGGCACTGCAAAAGATGAACCCTGAAGATAGGCAAGGTGCTGCATGTGCGTGCTATCGCTGAGTCTCAGGCGCGAGCAGCTGGAAATGTTTGCCCGGACCTGACGCTGACGTTACTTACTGTTACTTGTGCTTAGCATCAGCAGGTGCTTGACAAAGAAGCCAATGATGATCAGCTGAGTCGGCCAGCACCACCCATTCTTGAGGTAGTTAACACAAGGAGATTCATGCAGCGAATGGCCGGCATCAAGGACCTTGACCTGGGTAGCGCATTGAAGCATGTCTCAGCAGACGCATGCAAGCAAGGTGCTAAGACATGCCTACGTATCTGCAGGAGATGGATGATGATGCCTTAGCCCTCTATCGAGAGCACATGCAGAAGGAGCCGCCACTTGCAGGATCAGCCTGCAGAAGCTGTTGATTTGGTGACAGGAAGCGCAGAAGAAGTCAGCCACCAGCGCATTGGAAAGACTAAAGTTTGCTTCTCATTGAAAGACTCAATTTACATAGTAGATTGCCCAAGCAGCCAAGGTCCAGTAGGGGCGCCAACAGCGTGATGCTGGTGAAGTCAGTCCGAAGTGAGAAAGGCGAGAGGAGCAGGCCAGAACGCTCTGTGAGCCGCCAGACAGCTTTGCAAGCTTGGCTCTGCCAGGATCATGGGGCGTGCTGCGACAACCCGACTGGAGGCTGCCGAACCCGTGCACCGGTCTCCCCAATAATAGCGCTGCTCTTCTCGTACTTGTAGATGTTGCAAAGGGAAGGGAAGACTCGGACGAAGCTTCGAGCGAACCCTTGCCAACCGAGCATCGGACTGGCGTTGTGATCGTGATATCTGATTTCCTGGCAGTGTTGGCGGGAGCGCCCCTGATCATGCTTCTAAGCCGCAGGAAGCACCGCAAGCGCCGGCGGAGGAGACTCCGAAGGAGGAGGAAGAAGCCGCTCGAAGTATCGGGATCCTTGGAATGAGCAATGTGCAGAGACTTTCACTGCGGTTGAAGGGGGCTCGGGGTTAGCTATGTGTTTTGCGGTTTACCGGCGAGGTGCCTGCATGCAACTGTGCAAGCCAAGGAGAGGCCTCTGACGCAGCAGAGGATGCCGACGACACCGGGCAGCCGCAGGCAAGTCAAGCTACTCGCAGCATGCAGCTACCAGCAGTATCAGGTGTGTTTTTTTGGGTTCTCCTCCATTGCTGGATCTTTGGCAGGAGGTGGCTTCAGCTCCCGACTCAGGTGCCAAGAGCGCACTCAGCGCACGTCTGGCAACAGAAGCTGACTCAGACGAGGGTGACGGAGCTTCGAGCGACTCCGGATCCAGTAGTGTCAGTAGCGACAGCGACGACAAATCCTCCAAATCCTCCAGCAAGCCTGGGTGAAACTCGCCACTGGTGCTTCTTGAGACGGCTGCCAGGGTGACCATGCCTTCAGTGGTCCATCCAGGCTACCCAAGACTCGGCCAACATCGTCTAGCTCGCTTCATGCCATCGAAAACCGTGCGCCAGACTCGGAGAGAATGTGGAGGTCGCG